CTTTCATGTCTTCCTTAGTAAAGAAAAGTGGCTATAAAATGGAACAGGGGAAAACAATTCGTGTCCTCGAGAGAGGTCCTTCGACTGAGGAAGAAGACGCCTTAGCTCGAAGTGTAAAGAAGTCGAAAGAACCAGGGGAACTAAACAATGAGACAATCGATGATGAAATGTTGGACCATGTTACGTGTGAGGGTCAAGCTGGGGTGGAAGGTAGTGTACCTAAAACAGTCTCAGAAAGAGGCACCAGTGCTATTGAAGGAAGGAAGGTAGTCTCATACTTAGATAAAGTCCTCTGTCTAAATGGATAGGGTAATGTTTATGATAGTGAAGAAGAAGATTGGATGTTCAAACCAAAAAAGAAGGAAGAGGAAGAAGACTTAGATAATGAGATGCACCTTGGTGGAGTTGATGATCCTCTATGTCCCTCCTATGTCTTATCTAGGAGGCAGCACAAGGAAGACTTCAAAAAATGAAGACATGCGCTGATCATAAAGTTGATGGGAAAGAAGATTGCATCTTATTCAAGAGAAAGGAAGATGGAGACGGCGACACTGATAAAGCAAGATTTGCTAGGATATGTGTAGAAGTAGACTTAGGAAGGAGTTTCGTTTCCAGTTCAAAATTTGGGACTATATCCATAACGAGGAAGTCATTTTGAACGTTGGCTATAAGGGTTTACACCTCATATGCTTTGCTTGTGGGAGATATGGTCACCGCAAGCAGGCTTGTGATGGAGGCTTAGACTACACAAAAGAGAACATTGGTCCCTCTTATAATAAGAGCACTGATGAGGCAAATGGTGTTACTGGGCCTGATAGTAACAATAAGAAAGTTGGGAAAAGTGAAGATGTTGGTATAGAGGAGAAAAATAAAGCTGATAAGTCCACTTTTGGGGCTTGGATGGTGGTGAAAATAAGTACCAAAGGTCAAAAAGCTAAACCAGTGCCGAAATCAATGGCGGCTAGGAGGAAAGAGCCTTCCATAGCTCCGGCGACTAATTGGCGGTCATCAACGGTAAACCTTGCTGCGTCGCATGCAAAAAGCATAACTATACAATCCTAATCAGCTACGAAAGCAGGAGATCATAAAGGTAAAGGGAAGGTGGTAGACATGAAGATGAATACCAAAGCCAACAGTGGCAACATGCAGAACAGGAAAAATTCCTTGGGGAATTCTTCACATGGAAAAGGAAGTCTACATTTGACAAATTCAAAAGTGTTTAGTATAGAACAAAAAAATAAAGTTGGAGGACATAATGGTCAACGCAAGATAATTGGTTCAAAACAATAAGGGCCTGACCTAATGGCTTCTACTGATAAGGACCCATCTTCAGGTATTGCCACATAAGCTAACAAGGAAATTTTAATGCAAGAGGAAGATACTACTCCTATCAAGAAACCACCTGATGCTGTTGAGTTCCTATGAAGATTCTCCCAAGAAAATCCAGATCTTGTTAGGGAAGCTGATGAAAATTTGCTACAAGGGACTTGTATGCCTCTCAGTAAGTACACTTTTCTCCTTTCCCCTTTTTACTTATTGATAATGTCCATGAATTTCTGTACGTGGAATTGTCGTGGGGCCAATAAGAAAGGTTTCATCTTACTTATTAAAGATAAGAGTAGGAATTATGACATTAAGGTTCTAGTGTTAACAGAGGTCCGTATAAGTGGTGCAACAGTCGTTAGACGTGTAAAATAACTTGGGTTAAGTGGTTACCATATTAATGATGCAATTGGGTTCTCAAGAGGCATATGGGTCTTATGTTGGGTTTAAACTTTAATAAATAAAGTAATTAAAATAAATAGAAAAAGAAAGGTTTATAGTGAAGAGGTGTGTCCCTAGGTATTTGTTAGTGGACAAATTATTGTATTTAGATTTCCTAAGTTGGTCATTATTATTCTTAATCATTTGCTATTGCTTATAAATAGCTCATTCTAACTCTTGTAAAGTGGCTTGGTAGAATCAGTAATATAATAGAGGTATATTCAGAGAATTGTGTGTGTATCTTGTGTGTGAGAAAACACCATTAGACGACCTGTGAATTACAAATTGGTATCAGAGCTTGATATCAATGGAAGGTGTGAGTAATGGTCTGCCAGTGCCCCGCCTGAAAAAGGGCAACTATGAGAATTGGAGCATCCAAATGAAGGCTCTCCTAAGAGCATATGATAGTTGGAATTTGGTGCAAAATGGGTTCGTAGAACCTGAAACAACAGAAGGATACTCAGCAAACCAACTCAAGCAGTTGAGTTTGTCAAGATCGAAGGATGCAGCGGCACTGTTTATGATGCTTCAAGTTGTTGAAGAGTGTGGTGGTATTGAGAAGATTGGAGGTGCAACAACGGCTAAGGAGGCCTGGGACTTATTGGAGACGGTCTACCGAGGTGCTAACTGTGTGAAGCAGGTCAGACTTCAAAATCTTCGAGGAGAGTTGGAGGGGATGAAAATGAAGGAGGCCGAAGGAGTGTCGGATTTCATCACCCGGGTTCAGACCGTTGTGAACCAGTTGAAGAGGAATGGAGAGGCGTTGGCCGACTCCAGAGTAGCAGAAAAGATTCTGAGGTCGTTGACAGACGACTTCGAGAACATGGTGTGTGCAATCGAGGAGTCCAAGGACTTGTCTACGCTCTCTGTTGACGAGCTAGCAGGTTCCCTTGAGGCGCATGAGCAGCGCAAGAAGAAGAATAAGGAGGAGTCGCTGGAGCAAGCACTCCAGACAAAAGCAACCATTAAGGATGAGAAGGCGCTCTATTCTCAGAACGTCCGAGGTAGAGGTCGTGGACGAGCTAGACGTGGATATGGCCAAGGTGGTCGTGGCCGAGGTCATGAGGTGAGAAATGAAGAAAGAACTGAGCCGAGTCAGCAAAACCGGAGAGGAAGAGGACATGGCCGAAGTGGAAGAGGCCGGTGGTCGAATCACAGTAATATAGAATGTTATAAGTGTGGCGAATATGGTCACTACTCAAAGGACTGTAACTCGGACAGATGCTACAACTGTGGCCGAGTTGGGCATTTCGCTAAGGATTGCCGAGAAGAAAGAATAATTGACGAGACTTTAAACCTCGCTGCAGAAGAAGAAATAAGAGATGGAGGAGTTATTATGCTAGCCCATGGCGAAACAAGTTCAAAGGATGAGTCGGAGTGGTATTTGGATACTGGTGCCAATAATCACATGTGTGGTTACAAACATCTGTTCAAGGAGTTGAAAACGGTGGAAGCCGGACATGTCTCTTTTGGAGACGCGTCCAAAATTGATGTAAAGAGCCGAGGTACAATCTGTTTCTTGTAAAAGGATGGACGAGTTGGTACAGTTCGGGACGTGTATTACGTGCCTGAGCTCAAAAGCAATATTTTGAGCATTGGACAGTTGATGGAAAAGGGCTACTCGGTTCTAATGACAGACCGAGTTCTACTATTGAAAGACAAACAAGGGTGTCTGATAGCCCGAGTTCAGATGGAGAAGAACAGAATGTACAAGTTGAGTTTGAGGAGCATGGAGGTCGGTTGTCTGCAAGCCGAGGTGGAGGATAAGATGTCTCTTCGGCATTGACGGTTTGGACACCTTCATTACGGTGGTCTGACCGAGATGATGAAGAAAAACATGGTAGTGGGACTACCAAAGATTAACTCTGAAGGAAAATTTTGTGAAGACTGCGTATTGGGAAAACATGCGAGGAGCCCGTTCCCAAGGATGGCAAGATACCGAGCTAAGCAGCCTCTAGAGTTGATACATACCGACCTGTGTGGACCCATAACTCCGGGGTCCTTCAGTGAAAAAAGGTATTTTGTCTCCTTTATTGATGAATTTAGTCGTAAGACTTGGGTTTATTTTCTGAAAGAAAAATCCGAGGTGCTGGATACCTTTAAGAGGTTTAAAGTGATGATTGAAAATACAACTAGAAGATACATCAAATCGGTCCGTTCAGACCGAGGTGGGGAGTACGTGTCGACAGCTTTCAAGAAGTATTGTGAAGAACATGGGATAAGGCGGTTCCTGACCGAACCGTACTCGCCCCAACAGAATGGAGTAGCTGAGAGAAAGAATCGGACTATCCTGGATATGGTCTGATCCATGTTGAAGACAAAGAACATGCCAAAGGAGTTTTGGGGAGAGGCCGTACAATGTGCAGTGTACGTGCAGAACAGATGTGCACATTCAAGTTTGAATGACAAGACTCCGCAGGAAGCATGGAGTGGTTTGAAGCCCTCAGTGGGTCACTTTAAGGTCTTTGGTAGTGTTGCATATGTACACATACTGGATCAGTTGAGGACATAGCTAGAAGATAAAAGCAAGAAGTTTGTGTTCATTGGTTATGATGAGAAGACTAAGGGATATAAGTTGTTGGATCCCGTCAGTAAAAGGGTGATGGTTAGCCGAGATGTGAAGGTGAATGAAGAAGATGCTTGGGACTGGAGTAGTCCATCCGAGGTGAATGTGGAACCCGGAATTAGATCAATTGAGGTCGGACAACCCTCGACCCGCATTTCAGAAAATCCAAATGATTCTGATAGTGAAGAAGAGTTGAGACAACCAAGGATGAGGAGTCTACAAGATCTTTATGTCCACCAGTGAAGCACACTTGGTATGTTTGTTGGCAGATTCTGAAGAAGTGAGCTTTGAAGAGGCAATCCGAGATGAGAAATGGAAATCAGCCATAGAGGAAGAGATTAAAGCTATAGAAAAGAACAAGACATGGGAGTTAGCCGAGCTTCCTAAAGGAAGTCGGCCCATTGGTGTGAAATGGGTGTACAAGAAGAAAATGAACGCTAAGGGGGAGATCGAAAGATACAAAGCCCGACTGGTGGCGAAAGGGTATAGGCAGAAGGCCGGCGTTGACTATGACGAGGTGTTCGCTCCCGCAGCAAGAATGGAGACAATCAGGCTGTTATTTTCTCAAGCAGCCCAGTTTGGATGGCCGATCTATCAGATGGACGTGAAGTCGGCATTCTGAAATGGAGTACTCGAGGAGGAGGTGTATCTGGAACAACCTCCGGGATTCATGAAAGCCGGACAAGAAAGAAAAGTGTTGAGACTGAAGAAAGCTTTGTATGGGTTGAAGCAGGCCCCAAGAGCCTGGAACACGAGAATTGACAATTACTTCAAGAAGGATGGACTTGAACAATGTCCGTATGACCACGCGCTCTACATAAAGAAGAAAGGAGGTAAAATTCTACTTGTTGCTCTATATGTTGATGATCTGATTTTCCTGGGTAATGATGAAGGAATGATTCAAGATTTTAAGAAGAAAATGACGAAGGAGTTCGAGATGAAGGATCTCGGTCTGATGAGGTACTTTCTTGGTCTGGAGGTCAGACAAGAAAAATCCGGGATCTTCGTCTCTCAAGAAGCCTATGCAAAAGGAATTTTAGAGAAGTTCAAAATGAGTGATTGCAACCCGGTTTCAACCCCTATGGAACCCGACGTTAAACTTTCAAGATATGATGGAGGAGAAAAGGTAGATCCGAGTGTTTATCGTAGTCTAGTTGGAAGTCTGAGGTACTTGACATGTACGAGACCAGATCTATGTCTGAGTGTTGGAATAATAAACCGATTTATGGAAGAGCCGAGCTATACTCATTGGAAGGCGGCAAAGAGGATTTTAAGATATGTTCAAGGAACAATTTCGCAAGGACTTCATTATTCAAAGTCAAACAAGTACAAGCTAACAGGCTACTCGGATAGTGACTGGTGTGGAGATGTGGATGACAGGAAGAGCACGACTGGCTATGTGTTCTTCATGGGAAACACGACGTTTACTTGGGTGTCGAAGAAGGAACCCATTGTGACCCTGTCTACACGTGAAGCCGAGTATGTTGCGGCATCTTGGTGTGTTTCCCATGCAATATGGCTGAGGAATTTACTAAGCAAGCTGGAGCAAGAGCAAGTCGTCCCAACCGAGATTCGAGTTGACAACAGATCAGCGATCGAGTTAGCAAAGAACCCGGTCAATCATGAAAGAAGTAAGCATATTGATGTCAGATTCCATTTCATCCAGGATCAAGTAAAAGAAGGAAAGGTGGAGCTCAGTCATGTGGCAAGCCGAGATCAAGTTGGAGATATTTTCACAAAGCCCCTGCCGACATTGTTGTTTGAGAATTGCAAGAAGAAGATGGGAATGAAGGACGGTAGAGATATTAAAGTTTAAGGGGGAGTTTTGTTGGGTTTAAACTTTAATAGATAAAGTAATTAAAATAAATAGAAAATGAAAGGTTTATGGTGAAGAGGTGTGTCCCTAGGTATTTGTTAGTGGACAAATTATTGTGTTTAGATTTCCTAAGTTGGTCATTATTATTCTTAATCATTTGCTATTGCTTATAAATAGCTCATTGTAACTCTTGTAAAGTGGCTTGGTAGAATCAGTAATATAATAGAGGTATATTCAGAGAATTGTGTGTGTATCTTGTGTGTGAGAAAAACACCATTAGAGAACCTGTGAATTACATCTTATGGGACCAGTCCTCTGTGGATGTTGCCATCTTGGGGAATAATCGTCAGTTCACACATGCTTCTTTGAGATGGATACACTCCATCGTTACAGAGCTTACTACCTTTGTTTATGGCTCTCCCAGACGTGTGGATAGAAGATACCTTTGGGAAGGAATTAATTCCTTTAATGCCTCGGTGGTTGGTACTTGGCTTATAATAAAGGACTTTAATTCTATTAGTAATGCTAATGAGAAAGAGGAAGGTGGAGCTATATGTGAAGGAAGCATGATGGAATTCCGTGAGTGTATCAATTTTTGCATTCTCATAGACATTGGCTATAAGGGTCCTAATTTTACATGGAAAAGAAACAGACTCTAAGAAAGACTTGATCATGCTCTAGTCAATGATTCATGGATTAACACTTTTCCAGACATATTTGTTTTCCATCTTCCTTTTTTCTGCTCCGAACACAGACCCTTGCTAGTATAGGAAGGTAGAGGAGAAATAATTGTTCCTAACAACAAGGTATTTCACTTCCTGGCTTATTGGATCTCCTGCGAAGGTTTTGAGGATGTGGTGCAAGACTGTTGGAACCAAAATACTCCTTGGGACATAGCTAATGTCAGATTCTAGCATAAAGCTACAGCTTGGCACAACATCTACTTTAAAGCTCATCTTCATAGGAAATTTTGCCTCCATCCTTGTATCATTGGTATTGATAAGGAGCTGCAGCAGCATCCGAACAATACCTTGGAAGTTCTTCAAAGGAAGCTTTGGGATGAGCTGAATTTAATCTACATACCGGAAGAATTGATTTGATTTCAACGTTCTAGGAATGAGTGGTTGGTTAATGGTGATAAAAATACTAAGTTTTATCACTCTGTGACTGTGGCCAGGAGACGCAAGAACAAAATTCTTGCTCTCATGGATGAGAATGATACTTGGATAGGTGAACCTAAAACTCTCAAACATATGATTGTTAGTTTTTTCGAGAAAGTTTATAAGGAAAAGGGGATTCCCTTCACTCCCTTTCCTTTAGTAGGTTGCTTCCCAAAAATTATAGCCCCTCTTTCCATCAGCTACATTCTGCCTCTTCTGATCTGGAAATCAAAGAAGTTTTATTTAGTATGAATCCCTTCAAGGCTCTTGGCCCAAATGGTTTGCAAGAAATCTTCTTCCGCTCCTAGTGGAACACTAATGGCAGCTCGGTTTGCAGGCTAATTAAGCAAATCTTTGCTAAACCTGCTCGTATTAGGCCTATTAATAAATCACTTCTTTTCCTTATCCCCAAAGTAGATAATCCAGACTCTATTAAAAAGTTAAGACCAATCAGTCTTTGCAATGTCATCTTCAAAACTGCTACGAAGATTCTGGCTAATTGTTTGAGACCTCACTTGAAGACCCTTATCCTTCCTAACCAATGTAGTTTCATAAAACGGAGGCAAAGCACAGACAATATCTGTAAGTAGCCTCTCGTAAGCCATTAGCATAAAAAGGGGAAAAATTAAAATTTTATGCAGAAGAAACAACCTTTGCCCCCCATCAAGCATGTTCAACCCATGAATCATGCAATAAAATTTTAGGGGTTTAAAGTTGATACTTTTGTTCGTATAATTGTTCCTGATCAGATGCGTTCTTGATCAATTCTTCAGACTTGAAGAACACAAGTCCTCCAACGGAAATCCACACCACCTTGTTGTCTTGTAAGATAATGACATTTTTTCGAATGCCCAATGTCCATCAATGGAGGTTACTAGACTTAAGAGAAGAACAGAGAGTGAGTGATGCCTTTGGTTATTTCAAAAGAGGGAGAGATAGCCCCCACACTGATGTGTATGTTGGCTAGGGTTTCAATGGAGAAAATTAGAGAAGAAATAATTACAAAACTAAGGAAGAAAAAGGGCTATATATGTGTGGCGCGTTATTAACCTAAGACTAGGTCAAATCAGTGCCCTCATTGTATGCCAGTCTAATTAGGTAATTTTTTTAATTTTATCCAATCAATCCAATTGATTGGTTTCCCTAATTTTAATCAATTAATTTAATTAATTGGTTTCCTTAATTTTGATCAATCAATCTAATTGATTGGTTTCCTTTATTTTCTCCATCTTATTAAATCTAATTTATTGACTATATTTAAATTTAAATTTTAAATTCAAAATTAGAATTTAAATTAATTTTTTTAAATTCAAATTTCAAATTCTAAATTCAAAATTAGAATTCAAATCATTTTTATTTAAATTCAAATTTCCAATTCAAAATTCCAAATTAGAATTCAAATTAATTTTATTAGTTTAACATTTATCTTATTTAGGTTAAATTATGGATCAAGTCCAACTTGGCCCATGATGCCACCTACCCTCTATTGACCCAATATATGGGCTATACCAACTTAGACCCATTATCCCTTATTGGGCCCAAATCACATATGCTAGAATTCCAGACAACTTAAGGTGATTGTGTGCGACCCATCAAGCCCAACATAGCCACTGACATAAATGGGCTTGGGCCCATTAAGCCTAATCATGTAATGACAACACAGAGCACTAGCAATAACTTATTGTCACAGAGCTAGTTGAGTTCATCGAATGATAAACCTGTGATACCTATTTGGTTGCCATGTGATAACCTTATCCGAAACAGGAAATCTTCATTTACGAACTCTAAAGAGCAGGTCATCTCATGACTCCTTTACTATGCATAGATTCTTGAGTCTCTTAGTTGTCATCCCGGTTTCACCAAGCTACGGATAACCTTATCTCTTGCAGAGATTGACGAATTCCTTCAGCTTGTCACACTAGGCTTAAGTCCTTAGGACATTCCCAAAAGTATATCTACGAGTCTCTATGTTTCAGGTAGACAAGGTATACAATCAAAGCAAGCCTTCCAAAGCACAGGTCTATATGACAACGTCAGGTCTAAGGAAAGACACACCCAGATAATAAGAAACATTTCCTATTGATACTATCTGTAAGATTTCCTTGTAGTGTCTCTTTATGGGTCAATTCAGTGTGAGCTATTCTCTAATAGGTCCACGCTCGAGTCAGCTAAGACATCTCCATGTCTGTAGCTCACGAGGACTCTACCTTGCATCTCCATGTAAGTAGCTGAGTCGTGATAGTCTTACCCGAGATCAACAATGCCCATTATTGGTATCTCTAGACTAGGAACATATTTCTGGCAATGGACGTGTGGTGTCATTGAGCCCTCATGATCATGATCCCTATTACAGATCCTTAATGTGACACTCGTTGCATTTCAAAGGCTTTACTAGTTACTCATACTCGATATTTGAGACATGCAATATGAAACAAGATAAAGAATGCTTTTATTCATAAAATTTATTCATAACAATAAAGAAGTACATGGGTTCATCTGACTCTAAAATTGTCTCTAGGATACCTATACATTAACAATCTTCCACTTGGCCTAGAGCCAATCTGACCGAAATCTATATCCTAAAGCCTCATAATGACTATCATGTTTTCTCTGAGAAACTTCTTTTGTCAGAGAATCGGCTAGGTTATCATCTGTGGGAACATAGTCCATCTTTACATCCATCCTATCAACGATTTCTCTAATCAGGTGATATATGTGAAGCACATGTTTTGATCTTTGATGAGATATGGGTTCCTTTGCCTAAGCAATAGCACCATTATTTTCACAATGCAACTGTATAGGCTCACTAATACTGGGAACCACCCCAAGTTCAGTGATGAACTTCTTAATCCACACGGTTTCCTTAGCTGCTTCTGAAGCCGTTATATATTCAGCCTCTGTAATTTAATCTGCTGTAGTCTCCTGTTTGGAATTCTTCCAAGTCAGTGCTCCATCATTTAAGGTAAATACGAACCCTAATTATTATTTGCAATCATCTTTGTCACTTTTGAAGCTGGCATCATTGAACCCTTTCACTACTAGCTCATCAACTACACTATAAACCAGAAACATATCCTTAGTCCTTCTCAAGTACTTGAGGATTTTTGTGTTGTCCAGTGATCTTCTTTAGGGTCTGCTTGGTACCTGCTCATTATGCTTAAAGCATAAGAGATATATAGTCTTATATTGATCATGACATACATGATGGATCCGATAGCCGAAGCGTACAATATCTCACTCATGCGATCTTTCTCTTGTTGTGTTTTAGGACACATAGCCTTAGAAAGGTGCATGCCATGATTGACAAGAAGAAAACCCCTTTTCGTTAAATTAGAAAATTTTAAATTTGTTTTTTCATGCTTAATGATAAATCAATAGTTCTATTTTCTAGAAATGGCTGCCACACAAGAGCCACCGGAATTGCCCAAGTGTTGGGATTTTTGTTAACATCAGATTTGGGAAAATATCTAGGAGTTCCCCTTCTGTACAACAGAGCTAGTGCTAATTCCTTAAAGTATATCTTGCAGAAGATGGATTCCAAGCTTTCTAATTGGAAGAGGGCCAATTTATTTATGGCTGGGAGATCAACATTAACCCAATATGTGCTAGCCTTTATACCAACTTACACTATGCAGTCGTGTTTATTTCCTGCTAAAGTTTGTGATGGTATTAAGAAACACTCTAAAGACTTCTTGTGAGGATCAACGCAAGATAATATGAAGATGCATATCGTGGCTTTGAATGTTATCTATCAACAGAAGGAAAAAGGTGAACTTGGGCTAAAAAGGATGAGAGGAATGAATCATGATTTGCTAATAAAGGTAGGCCACGAATTATAAC